TTTATGTATTTTGGATATTAACCCTCTACCAGATACATAGTTGGCAAAATTTGATCCCTTTCTGTTGGCTGCCTCTTTGTCTGACTGACAGTGTCCTTTGCTGTGCAGAACCTTCTTAGTTTCATGAGGCCCTATTTACTTGTTGATCTTAGTACCTGTGCTAAAGGTGTTCTGTTCAGAAAATCCTTTCCTCTGCCAATTCATTCAAGGTCATTCCCCACTTTCCTTTCTATCATGTTCAGTGTATCTCCTTTTAGGTTGAGGTCTCTGATGCAATGGGAGTTGAGTTTACTTCTGGAAGTCAGTATGGATCTGTCTGCATTCTTCTACATGCAGCCCTCCAGTTTGACCAGTACCATTTATTGAACATGCTGTCTTCTTCCCAGTGTGCACTTCTGGTCTCTTTGTCAGAAAAAATGTTTCCATAGGTGTGTGGACTTACGTCTTGGTCTTCGATTTGGTTTCATTGATCAATGTGTCTTGTTTTCATGCCAATACCATGCTGTTTTTATAACAGTTTTGTAGAATTACTTGAAATCTGGAAGGGTGATAACTCTAGCATTTCTTTTATTATTCAAGATTGTCTTAGCTATCCTGGGTGTTTTGTGCTTCCATATGAAGCTAGAAATTGGGAAGTATCATGTTGGAATTTTGGATGGAGTTGCATTGATCTGTACAGTCCTATTTGGAGGATGGTCATTTTTACTATGTCAATTTTGCTGATCCACGATCATGGAAGATCTTCCCATCTTCTGATATGGTTTTCAATTTTTTTCTTCAATGACTTGAAGTTTTTATCATAAAAATCTTTCACTTGCTTAGAGATTCCTCAAGTGATTTTATATTATTTGAGGCGATTGTGAAAGATATTTCCCTGATTTCTCAGTCCATGTGTCTTTTGTATATAGGAGGGCAACTGATTTTTGTGAGTTAATTTTGTATCCAGTGCTTTGATAAAAATGTTTATCAGCTGTAGGACTTTCCTAGTGGAATTTTTAGGTCACTTATGCATACTGTCATATCATCTGCACATAAAGATACTTTGACTTCTTCCTTTCCAATTTGTATCCCTTTGACCTCTTTCAGTTGTCTTATTGCTCTAGCTTAGAATTCCTATACTATATTGAATAGATATGGAGAGAGTGAACAACTTTGTCCTATTTCTGATTTTAGTGGAATTGCTTTTAATTTCTCTCTATTTAAGTTGGCCATGGATTTGCTGTAAGTTGCCTTTATTATGTTGAGGTATGTATCTAATCTCTTCAAGACTTTTAACATGAAGGAGTATTGGATTTTATTAAAGGCCTTTTCTGCATCTAATGAGATGATCATGCATTTTTTTTCTTTCAGTTCATTTATATGGTGGGCTATATTTATCAATTCACCTATGTTGAACCATCCCTGCATCTCTGGGATGGAGCCTACTTAATCATGATGGATGATATTTTCGATGGATCTTGGATTCAGTTTGTAAATATTTTATTGAGTATTTCTGCATCTATGTTTTTAAGAAAGAAAAATTGCGGTTTGGGTATCAGAGTAATTTCAGCTTTTAAAAATGAATTTCACAATGTTCCTTTTGTTTCTATTTTGTGAAATAATTTGGTGAGTATTGATATTAACTATTCTTTGAAAGTCTGGTAGT